CATGACGAATTTTGAAACTGCAAATGTATATATATGAGGTTGAGCAAATATACGTGTAGTGGAGCGAATCCCATTATGTTATGTGCATGACGTCATCAATTTTGACATTCTTGTTACGCGTATGTGTTACCAAACGTAACATGTGGAATTTGCCTATAAAACGGTAATGTTTTGGAGATTAATACCTGTATAAAAAGAAACCTATAACGTCTTGCATGTTATAACTTGTGAGGTTTTGAATGACCAATTATTAAATATCGAATATTGTTCAATCTGAGCAGTCAAAACTACGCACATAGTATTTTTCTGTATATGTTTGACGTCCTTTCAACAGCTAAGGCAATTTTAATGTCTCGGTTAAAGATGACACCTTTTAATGCAGGGTTGATTTTTCTCTGTATGTATGAAAGAAAAGAAGTATAAAATAGCGCAGACATGATCAGCGTCGACTTGAATGGATATTAGGTTAATGTCTTATGATTTTTATTATGTTCAAGATGTACATGAACAATACAGAAAAAAAAAATGCTTATAACGTTCGAATAAGACACACGATCTGAAAAATTATTAAATATATCTATTCAGGAAGGAAGAATAAACTTGTTCAGTCTTTTGCGTCAGTTAAAAAGGTCAATTTTCGGAGAAATGAAACTTCAAACATGCAGATCAAGGGAAAGTGGTCAAATTGACAACATTGTCGAAGTGTTTGAGAAAACTAAAGGAATTAGTAAAAAGTGGTAAGGACCATATGAAAAAGCAGATCTTGCTGTGTTCCGTGGTCTATAACAATGTATAGAAGAATGATGGCAATTTGGCCTAAAATTTCGCCCCCCCACTCTCACCCCACCCTCATATTGCCCTGTACACGGTGAGTTATACAGCGTAAAAAATATCATGCATATTCTTGAGGTAATTATGCAATATAACAAATATTTTTGCCGTCTATTTTTTTTTTATTTGTTTACTTTTTGTCCTACATATTTTTATCACACAAATTTGATTAATTACTAATCGAAATATAAAATCATTTCTGCTTCAGATGGAAAAAAAAACATTACAAGTTTAAATGTAAACCGTCAACTGGGATATTTCCAGTTTTTAAGTCGAACTCGTTATGTAGTTTATAATCAAATGTTCATATGTTACACTTACTTTGGTAATGTGATCATTTTTTAAAACAATTTCACAGCTGATATCATTGTGTTATGATTAGGAAGAGTATATCAACACTTCGTGTGTGACGTACATACCGACCGAAGCAGAGCTGGTGCAGCCGTTCCATACCGACATGAACGGATATCTAACTCTAGTTTCGTGTTCACAAAAAACTGTTGAGATACTTCCTTGTCCACCAAATAACACAAGTAAGTCTCACACCGAATTAAATGAATTGTTAAACATTTGTTGGATACATTTATGAAAAAAAAAATTGCATAATGAAAATGATGTATTTTTTGGATATTTTGACAAATTAGTGGGAAAATATTTGCAGATAACAATAGCATATTCATAACAGATTTGAAGAAATCATTTACTCTGTAGGTATCGAAGACAGAGAGATGTTTGTGAACAGATCACTCTATTGCATCAAACCATGGTTATATAATATCCTGGTGTCTGGTCTATCCCCGGACCGAACTGATGCTGATAAGGAAAGACTACTTGATGTCTACTTCAAGATGCTTCGAAATATCCTCATGCAAATGACCACGTTCTGTCCTATTATCTACAGAACTGTCTGTGTGATGGCCAAACGTACATGATTATAACCGAAGCATTTTTCTTTAAAATTGAAGCAGACGATCACTAAAGATATTTTCTGAAAAAATCCGAGATGTATATTTAGGACAATGTTGACCACCAATGAAGTTCATCAAGCAAACTGTCCTATATGATAACAGTAGTGTAAAAGATAGACACTTCTCACATGGTCCTGTTTTGCTTTGTAGTACTCTTGATTGACAGTACAAGAAAGTGTTTTGATTCTTTAGTGTTACGACAATATAAGCATGCACAAGTTTGGATTGTAATATTAACGTGTACACAAAGTACAACATAGAAATTTATACACATTGTATACATAAGTCATAGATGCATAATTCAAAGTTATGGAAATATCCTCAAGGCAGGATTAACGGCCTGATTAATATATACTTATTACAATATTTATGGTGGTTCAAGGTATTGTGTGTGTATGAACAACCGGTGCATATCATAATAGTTTACCCTGAACGCATTAATTTTTGTTTACTTTGTAATTATGACCGGCCGTCACACGGTCATAATTCCTTAGGTACTTGATGTCACCATTTTACTATCCAAGACTTACTAGGACACTGGATAGCCATCGTATAGTTTTTATTAGCTCAATTCTGGTATACATTACAATATTCACCATCTCACTTATCCATCCATTCTCCTGACACACAATGTTATATCAAATATACAAAGTGTCCACAACCTGGTTCAATCTCTAATTAAGTTCTCTCCTCTTGGACTGACAACCCGTATATATATACTAATTCCTAGTACCTAGTAGAAAGCACCCCTAGATACTATGTCCTAGAAGCAGGTTGTGTTTCTTTTCTAACTATAAATATAATTCTTACTTACAAATTAACTATAATGTGTATGTGAAATATGAAAAGTTGTACTTAAAGATAATTCAGTTAAGTGTCTGAATATGTATCGTTAGGTGTATTGTACTATGAAGTCGAAAAAAAATGAATTGTGACGACAGTTATAGACATAGCGAACTGATTTTAAGAATTTGAAAAAATACATACAAATATGAAAAAAAATAAAAGATCTTCCTTAACCATCTCTTTTTGGGTACTTGAGGGGATAGGGGAATACCGAATTATCGTTTACAATTTAGCGTCCCTACCAACTATAAGGGGTACTTCATAAACTGATATGTTGAAATGTGCCGTACATTATTAAGGTGACGAGCTACCGACAAACAAAATCAAGTTTTCACAGTATAACAGAATAAGGACCCAATTGTTAGTTATAGACATAAAACATGTACAGGTCGCTTTGACAAAATCACTGTACATGAAAACATTTTTTAACTTTGTTTTAATATATTCTTTATCTTCTATAACTGGGTTTGACTGCACTGTAAGTATAGAGATTAAATGTACACGTTCAAGTCTTTTGATACAGACATTGTCTGTGAATGCGTTTATTTTTATGTTTTATTCTTTGATTTATTATTATGTGTCTGATATTACTGAGTATGACCGCACACTCCTATCACAAAACCACCTAACACACTGCATGTTCTAGGCTAGGTACATGTGAGGAACAAGACCAATGATACCCGCTTCTAGCGAAATGCTGATTTTGTTCATAAAACTTGGCATGTATAGTTTACAATATGCACAACTGGTCACACACATCTTACGTGATTGTATAGAAATAACTGACCTTCCTCTTCTGATTAATATTTCTTAACTCATCAATATCAATTACAATATGGCATCAAGGTTTTTGGGTTAATGTGGCTTAAATTTAACTGAAATAGCAATGTTTAACAACAGCAATCTCGAATATCATTCAAACGACATACAAATGACTCATTTCCATAGATATTACGCATAACCAAATAATTAATATGTCCTCTCGGGTCATAGTATACTAATGGTGGTTAGTCTTGGTTGTACCGTGAGGAATACTAATAAGAAAACGGTATATCTGATCGCTGGTGCTTATGTTAAACTCTTTTCTGATAATACATGATTCTTCCATTAATTTCATATATGTAATGGAATTGTGTTTTTTTACAATACTTAATGCTAACCAAGAACATTGAACAACAATTCTTAAATAATGGTATGTTACTTTTCATGATTTAATTCCCGGTATTCTCGCAAAAAAGTCGTTGCCGTGGCAATCTAACTGACGTTAGCCCAAATATGGTGACCATCTTCACTGTTGAAGTAGAATATCGGTCCAGACATCAGATAGATTAATGATGATGACGTGTTCAAATTTATCATTGAGATGTGAGGTAAACAGAACGCCAGAAATAATCCAAGAGATTTATTTCAATTCACTTTTCTCTGTTTCTAACTAGGTATATTGATTATATCAAAATGTTGATAAATATAATAACAGGTACACTATGTCATACTTTCTTCCATGATATCAATTGTAATATCTCATCTATGTACAATCACGTCAATTGGTATACCCGCCCACCTTTTCTTGATATTTCTATACCAAATCCTAACCTTAAATTGAAAGAAAAGTGCGGACAACTTGTGATGCGTCGAAGCCTCTCCAAGACTTCCATTGATTTCTCAATATATTTTAGTGAACCGATACGACTGCTATTCAGAGACAGACATGAGGAAGTTCGGGTATTCTCGCAAGGAATCAATACAAAGAATAGATAGATAATCCAAGCAGAGGCACATTTTAAGGATTTCCCTATGCCTCGAACTATATCCTGTCCCGAGTCCTTCATCTCGTGATAAAAGAGAATATGAACTAACCTCCAGGATATTGATAGGAACAAGCATACTATCATCTAACTATACTAAATATAATTATAACAAGAGGTCATTTATGTCAACATATCACTTCTTGTAGACGTTTCCACTAGCTTTGAAATTTCTGCTTGGGTTGATGTTCGGGTTTTGAGTGCTGGTAGCTGGTTTTGATTGGGATTGAGATTTCTGATTTTATTTTTATGATGATGAATGGGATCGCGATGACTGTTGAGGAAGGCATTGATGCACCAGGCCGAAGTTCAGAAAGATTGTCTCACACCATGTCCTTCTGTGTACCTGCATCACATGTCTGTGTAGTGGGGACAAAAGGTAGATACTCCCATTATGACTGAGTATTCTAAGTACAACAGTTCAGTATTATAATTTCTATATCTTTACAGACTATGGAAGATTAAGGATAACAAGTAATTTAGTTGTTTAATTATCATGCAATGGTTGCTTAAGTATGTAGAGGCAATGGTAGTATAGCTTGATCCCGCATTAGGAGTATTCTTCAATCCGAACAGGCTTGTAGTCTTTACTTGACCACAGATATATTTTGTTTTCCTCATGTCCTCTTCTTCTTATTGTCGCATCCAAATGATGATCATACATCGCAAACAAACCACCTGTATTGAAGGGAAAGCAGATTACTACTTAAATTACAACATAATTGTAGATCACTTGTCAATAAATTAAGAACAGTTGCATTTTTATTCAAACCTCTCATGGTTATTCAAGCGAAGTCTGTCCTACGCCATACGTCAACATCTGTAACCCTCCTTATTACTTCAACAAGCCTGATGTATATATGTATGTGAATTACTTCGTTACATACATATTTCGTGCAATCACGGCTTTATATACTCGATGCAATATTCAAACATTAGCTCTACATTAGATCTACTATGCGGGAGGTTTCATGAAGTTATTAATTAACGGGACAAACTCTACAATCGATGCCACTTGATTGCCTATTATCCGAGCTGTTGCATTGCTTGATTTTCCTGACATGACTTTTAAGCCGTACAAATTATCATTTAATACGAGAAAAAAAGTATAAACTTCTAGAATATATTTTGTTTCGTTTTCTGGTATTGTTAGAATATCATGACGAGTCAAGTCAAGAGACTGCTGAACTAAACAACGGATATAGATCCAAGGCAGCAGATTACAAAACCATCATACACGATGTCAACAAAAACATCAAGAAAATACCAACTTGGCAAAATAAAAATAAGAACAATTAATACAGCAACGGAACCAATAGGCAAATTAACGAGCATGAAACACGACTATCTTCATATCACACAAAGAAATATAATATTTCGCAATGAGACTTCCCATTAGCTGTCATCAACCTGCATCTTTTAAACCCCTGTATTACGAATTTGTCAGTCTTTTGACGACATGACAAGATGAAACCTATGGATGCCGGCTACCGAACAACGCCTCAATAATATCGGCAGGAGCGCGAGCTATCTTTCTCGCCCTTGAATATATTCAAAGAAACAAAGTCATGAGAGCTGTTATCCATTCACCGTTAAACATTTTTATTGGACTGCATTACCATTCTGTGTACTCGACAACTCGTAAAAATGTCTAAAATGCCTTTTTGAAACTGTTGAAATTTGACAAGTTCTACATTACCTGAAAGTTGTTGGTCTATATAATAGACTATGGTGTACCATTCTAATCTTTTGTGTTAACATAACCATTTAAAATGTTTATCATTTGTCTTTTACCTTTTGGTTTGTTTAATGCTATTTCTTTTTGGCTCTCTGTGTGTTTTACCGTTTGATGGCACTTGTGTCCTTTTATGTGATGACGGGCCGTTGAGAAAGTAATGATAGTAATAACGTATAGAAACACACACATTTCTCAACTTCTAGATAGAACGAAAGAATGGCTAAAATTATCCATAGATCGTCAGCGTAAAAGGAGCGATCTTTCAAAAATCAAAAATCGAGGAAAGCTGACCTGTGCGTTGTTATCATCTTCGATTTCAAGCTGCATTTTTTCCAATGATTGACTGGATAGATTTAGCCCACTCAGAAAGTGAATCCAATGCAGCATGTTTTCGATTCGCCAATTCTCGTGCATAGTTTTTAACATCACCCATAAGTATCTTAAAAATTCATATTCCAATTAACGGACGGATTTTCATGATATTCAGGCTGTTTCATGAAAAACGCTCGTTTCTTAACATTTTGAATAGTTCTTAAATCACCAGTTGATATGTGTCTAGTTGGACTAAAAATATAAGTAAATGCATAACAAGCTGTTATGAGATCATCTACATTCAGTTGCTGAAACATGTATTTGTAGTTACCACGTTTGGAAGCAATGTGGATGAAGTAACTGTAGGAAATTACAGGGGCATTTCTGCTTTAAACGTTTTTTGTGTAATGAACAGGTTTCTGTTTAAGAATATTGCTGATATTTAAAGCACCCACTCCCTTATTCACATTTCAAATTTCATAAATTTGCGAATTGTTGAAGGATCGCGGCCATCTGTGCGGCAAGTTTTTTTTTTCATCAATCGCATGATGTATTTTACACAGGTCACTAGAATATGTATTAACTGAATCCAGTTGACGTTTTTGTAGCACAGAGAGAAGAAGCGAGTATAACATAGTTCGAACATGATAGACACCCAGTAAAAAATTCAAATGAAGCACATTTACACATATTTTTCAATAATGCTAAAATCCACATATTTTTATAACGCGCGAATGGCATGGTATGGAAGAAAACTATTTGATATCTTCTAACAACTAACATATATTTGTTACCAACCTGTGTGTAAAAACAAGATTCGGTTGCCCTTGAACCTTTGTGGATTATTTTGGAGTTCCCGAAGCATTCCAAGAGTCGCCTTTCCCGTGTATATCGGATCCAGCATCACCCCTGTTGTCTCCGCCACGGACATCACAAAATCTACATCATCGAATTTAATGACAGTTCGTTTAGGTTAAGGACCTACTGATAACCTAACGATTGGAAGTTCGAGACTCTGATTTCATCAATTTTAGTTGATGAACTGGAGAAAGAGATTTCAAAATAAGGGGGAGGGAATGATGAGGAAGTCAACACTTATGAGATCATGACCAATAGGTTTTATTTTGTTGCTGGAGGAGATCAGAGCTCAGTGATCCCATTGGAGATAGGGGAACTAAGCAGTTGATTTGTTTTAACACCAACCCAAGTTATAGACGACAGTAGATACGCAACAATATCACAAATCAAATTCATGAAACTATGGACAAATATCAAAAGGAAAAGTTGCACAAGGAACACTTAAAGCGTGCAAGAAGATTGAAAAACAACATGTTTTTGCGTGCAACTACATATCAATAAACCATCGCCTTCATCTACCTATTATTTAAACCAGCAAATGCCGAGTATGTCGACATCTTGCTCGAAAATCATAACATTGTGTCGTGCAAGGAAGATATCGCTATCCAAAATATGGAGTACCAACAATAGCACATTTGAAATCATTCCGCTGAAGAGCAAATAATGTATCTACCTCGTTCCTTTTGTGTTGACTTGTTGTATCCATCGCCTTGATAACCCTCAATTATATCCACAATGGCGTTTGCCTTGATATCATCAGGTAAACCAGTTTCACGGAGTACTTGGTCAACGTGATCATGAAAATAACTCTTCGTGTAGTTGCAAACAATCACACCATGACACCTGTCAAAACACAAATAACCTATTTTAGAATTAAGTAGATGTGACATTGATGTTACGCAATTTTGTTGCTGGGATAAGTAGTGTTATGACAAAATGTACAACAGACCCTAAAACCGCTAATCATTCCACCAAAAAAAATTAATTTTAGCAAGTATTGTTCTGCGTTATGGTAATTTGATTCGCCGTATTGCCGATCTGTTTGTAAAGCTAAGTAGTTGATTATAATATTTTGTCAGTGTATCGATACAAAAACGTTTTACTCCGCTCAGGAAACAAACGATTATTATCAAAGAAAAGTATCGCTGTGTTTTAAACAGTAAGAAATAGATAAAAAGTGAACGATAATGACTGACTTATTTCCCGCTTCCCAATCAAATATCGAAAAATATCTTAACTCTGACTATTAAAAGCCTCCGTCATGTTTCTATAGTAACTGTTCTGGAAACACCCGATGATTCAAACTTCAGACATTGGTGAATGTTAATTAAAGACTTCATATCCTGTGATATGGTTACCATGGCAATCAAAACTGCTGCTGCAAAAAAGGAACCCCTACATTAATGTCAACATGAATATGTGTTTTCATTGAAATATCTTCACATTTTTTTATGCATAGACAGACGGAAAAGCTAGTTTCGGTATACCTCTGCCCTTTCTTTGTTGCTGGGATAAGTAGTGTTATGACAAAGTAATGATAGATGCAATCGAACAGTTTGTATGCATTTTTGTCAAATTCTGACACGACGATTCAAATCTGTCTCTCCGTGGTGTACCCATTCCGGTTGTTGAGCAAACGAAATTCTTAGGTGTAATATCCGACAGGAAATTGTCGTTCCTTCCACACATAAAATACCTTCATGCCAAATGCCTTAAGGCACTGAATATTTTAAAGGTTGTGTCCCACACTGATTGGGGAAATGATTAAAAAAAAATTGCTAAGACTCTATAGATCACAATTGGACTACGATTCGATCGTGTATGGATCTGCTAGACCTTCATATTTAAAATTATTAGACACTGTTAATCACCAAAATCTCAGGCTTGCTCTCGGAGCTTTTAAGACCACACCTACAACAAGTCTCTATGTAGAGGCTAACGAATCATCACTGTGTAGCCGTCGAAATAAATTGGCTTTACAATACACCATTCAGCTAAGGTCAAATCCTGCTTTTCCCACCGTATTTGATTCAAAATATTAAATCTTGTTTCAAGGCAAACCAAAAACTATTCCATCATTTGGTATTCGAATTTGTGCTCTTTAACAAAACACCAAAACACCAATTTTGATGTTTACCAAATTCAGACATTCGGAACGATAGAAATTCCACCCCGGCTCATGAATCCACCTGAAGTTGACTTTTCACTTCATGAAATGGTTTAATTAGACACAGAAATTACACCTTTCGTTCATCCTTCTCGAAATTGTAGTTAAATATGAAACATTTCTACATTTATATACTGATGGTTCAAAAGATAATAAGGTTGCTGTGGCCATGGTTACGCATGATGAAACCTATGGATGCCGGCTACCGAGCAACGCCTCAATATTCTCGGCAGAAGCGCGAGCTATGTGGCAGGAGGAATGGGATACATATACCAATAACAAATTGCACTTCGTTAAACCTGTTATCGATGAATATTCTCCAGGCTATAGAGACAACCACCGAGACGAAGTTGTCCTTGCCCGTCTTCGGATGAGTCATACATACCTTACACATTCATATATGTTGAAGGCGGAAATAATTATTGGTGCATATGATTTGATAAGTCATTCACCGTTTAACATTTTTTATTGGACTGCAGCGACCTTCTGTCTACTCGAGAACGTTTGTATCGTAACATTACATGTCTTAAATGCCTTTTTGAAACTGTCGAGATTTGAAAAGTTCTACATTACCTGAATGTTGTTGGTCTATATAACAGACTATGATGTACCAGTCTGATCTTTTGTGTTAACATTCCAATTTAAGATTTTTAACATTTGTTTTTTACCGTTAGGTTTGTTTAATGCTATTTCTTTTGGGATCGCTGTGTGTTTTACCGTTTGGTGGCCCTAATGCACGAATTAGCCCTAATGTGTTGATGGATCGTTAAGAATGTAATGATAATAATAATTCCCCTGAAATAAATCGTTTATAATGTGTTTGATCAGAGAGTACTGAGTTAGGTTCTCCCAAACAAAACTTAATAATATTTATAAAGGGACATAAACTCCGAGAAAAAGGCGAAAACACCCAACAAATGTATGTGTACTTGTGTTCGGACAAGATGAATAAAATTAGTATTATTCATGTAAGACGGTTATAAGAAAGTTGAGGTCATTCCCATTCTGTTACAAATCTTTGATAGAGCAGATATAAACTAGTGTTGTGATTTACCTGTGTTCAAGAGTTTTATAGTTAGCGAGGGTGACTAAATAAGAAACAACACATATATATACATACCTGAGTTTAGACCCTGTGAGGTAGTTACTGATACTCATGCCAGCTGCAGTACACCCAGACGAACAGGCAAATACCAAATCGTCATAATTATCCAATAAACCCTGGCAAACAAATGTGTAACAACAAAACATGTAGAACTTATTTTCATGATGAAAGTCGCAAGTGCATGACCCTGAGCTCTGGAAGGTGTTGACTTCATTAACACTGGAAATGGGATAGTGAATACAAGTCTTCACGATCTATTAGTGTTGCAGGTAATCAATACACTACTACAACTCTATTAGCTGACTTTCCAGACATGTTCTAAACATACGTATTAATACTGTTTCACAAGTGGTCGTTTGAGCAAAAAACGTATTGATATATCATATAGTACAACCTTCTTCAGTATTTTTTTCTTTATGGCAAGTTTGATGTTAGAAACCACAAGGATGTTTTCTTCTTTATGTCATGAAAATCATTTGTAATATAGATAGATGTTGACATTAAAAAATACAATGCTGATAAGATTATAAAGAAACATATTGCTGAATTTCATCACTTAGAAATACCTGGTAAAGGAAAGAATAAACATCGTTAAACGTATTGACGTTTGTTTATTATCTCATTTAAATACCGCACGAGACTGTATTTTCTAACATAAACCCCAACCAAAGATAAAATATACAATGCGTAGACTGACTATTTACATGTATGTTGTTGCCGGAAATCCTTTTCTTCACCAATTCCTTGGACTAATATGAATTTAATCGTGGCCCCATATAAGATAATGCGTGAGTAATTATATTGTATGAATGTTTCAATGCTAGCTCAAACCGAAAATAGCATTTGTGACTGTACGTTGTAGGGGAGATAACTCAAAACGTACAGAAAGCATGACAAATGCTGTTGTTTACAAATTTTGGTTTGTACATGAAAACAAGAAAAAGAAATAATGTGAAATGATAAAAGAAGAAATAAAAATACTTGAAACCCAAAACAACGATGTTAAATAATAATTGAAACTACCATGTTTTATGCTGATGGAATTCACGGAATCATAAATTCAAACAAAGTTGATATTCTATCAAACTTGGGAACAAGCCTAGAATATCAGATTTACTGTAATATGTAAAGACAGATCATTACTATTTAAAAACGGAAATTACACATTAGGAAAAGTTTTAATCATCATCCATATATAATTTCAGGGAAATATGCCTGTTCTGGTTTCTTTTTAGTAAATGTCAAGACGAGCGGCTGATTTAGAGTCTGCCGTGTCCTTGATTTCCAACTTTGGTGACAATATCCGATGAACATGGTCAATACTTGTATTGGTATTGTATATATGAAAGTGAAATTTACATTTTGATCTTTGATTTTAACCATCTATATTCTTTGAAAAAAGATTCAAAACGAATAATGTTCCTCCCCTACCTGTAAAATCATTTCTTCAAATGTTGATATTATTCCGAACAGTCCTGGGAAACTAGAGCCTCCAGCTACAGGAATTAAGTAGGAATCGTCGCCTAATTTGTCCCTTGAAGAACATATTTGTCAAAATGATACGATAGAATACGACCCTTTAGAATATTTCAAATTACACCATTTAGCAATACAGGTCTCAAATTAGAATGGTTCATTTTTTTTCTGTTATTTACATGTTATTATCATATTCAATCGAATTTTTTTTTTCTGAAATGGAAGTAAATGAGATTCAATATGTATGTAAAACAAACAAACAGCGAACATTTAACAACAAATGTCACTAATCACAGCCGACGAAACAAAGTAAATCATTAACAATATAATTAATATGTACACAGAGTCTTGAAATAACACAAGGAGAATAGAACCAATGTTTTGTTTGTCGACGACACAGCTGTTGCAATCTATACAAGGTGAGGAAATGAACATTTTAATCAACTTGTTGAAGCAAAACAAATTCTATTAAAATCAACATCACACATTCAACTAGTATGAATTTTAAAGGTCACAATAAAATTGTTCATTACTTAATTGCTGCGGCAAGTTTCTCCATGCGTGGCTTTAACTCTGTTATGTAGCCAGAATCATGAGGTACTAGGTAGATATTTGGCCCACACAGTCTGGTCAGTAATGCATTTCCATCACAACCTATGGCACAGGTTCCCTGACAATAAATAATCGAAGTTTTTTATGGGTTTCTTCGAACATCCTTGAAATTGTTATGATGTTATGCAAGGTAAACCAAAATGATCTTTTAACAGAGTCTGTGATTCATTCACCTTTTTTCGTCAGTTTTTCAGATATGTTCTCAAATTTCACAGTAACGTACGTTCCTGTTCGAAGCTGTACGCTTTTAGTATTTTGAGAGATGAGACTCAAAAAATAGTTGAATAGTCAGTTTGACTATGAACGTTTGTAATCGCTTATTTGATTTGATGAATACTTTCGATGTAGATTCCTCTCGAATCCTAGACTAATTATGTATTGTTCTTTCTTGAACAAATTTGAGGGGCAATATTGTAGATCTCTTCCAGATTTGATACGGCCGTTTCCTGCTTGTAAGGCTTATAATATAACTCAAACGGCAAAATATGAACAAAAATGATATCAAAAGATAAATTCCTTAAAGTACAAGTTAAATAAGACCAGGTTGTTGACCGTAAAATACCCATACTTTTCATTATTGTGCTTATTTGAAACTCTTTATTACGAGTTTGTCTGTCAGTTGTCGACTTCTTGCACGGAAATCGTAATAATGGGATCAGGTCATTGAATATCGAATTAACTATGACATGTAAACAACATAGGTTGGCGACACAGGTATATATAAATGGAACGATGTCAACAGGGAAAGAGAAACTGAAATCATCACGTTCATGATACAAGGACTGAGGGCTAACTTCACAAATATTCATATATCTAATACTACCTAAGAATAGGAAGTGTTAACTATTATCCAATAATAGCAAATCACAAATTGCATTTTAATACTATTAGCACATATGTAAATATACATAGATCTATTGAAATGATAATAATACAATTAAACGTGTCCAACTGAATGGCGTGTTCATATATGGAAACGGGTCTATTATCCACCGCTGGATATAGTTTCTAAGCAAATAGGATTGCGACTTAAGATTTATTGAGTTATTATGAATTATCACTGCCTTTATTTTACGATTCCCCTTGCCACTACCATCCTGCTTTGATGATGCACTTACAATATTCTCTAAATGCACTATTGTTATAGCCAGATACTTTTTAGGTCAAATAGTGACCTTTGTCGACTTGAAAGCCACTTGATCTGTTGCAGATCACTGTTTTAAGTATTGTCATTCTCAAACATTTCGGAGAGGTGTTTCAAGTCTTTCCCCTTTTTTGGAGAATAGTAATAACACTTGAACACACTTTTGACAGTGTCATCAAATACATGTCATTGTTTTTGACATTGATGAAATGCTGACAGTCTCTAATGCCTTGTCGATGTCATTTGTAACGCCAAGTGCATCACCCGATTGTAGAAGTACACGGTCAGCTAATATGGTACAAAACGCATATAAACAACTTCTTGTTCAGTCATTGATGCATCTGTGAATCCAGCGGCAAGAACCGATACGAAACGTGCTTGAAGGACGGCGCCACATGTTCTATGACTTCGGTAATGGCTTTGCATGGTTTGTCATTGGTGTAATTGTTCCCTATATCCAGGTCATTTTGAATTTAAAGTTTGCATAACGCTCTAAAGCAATTGAATGTAAAACTTCTCTGGCTACAACAAAATGCAGTTTTACACAGAATTATCATTTTTTATGTGCTACCGTATAAAGTTTTTTACGTATTTTTTATACATCTGACCCAACTACGTGCCGTTTTTTTTCAGCTTTGCATCTATCCACGCATAGTCTATATGTAACACTGGTATCATGACTGGCAAGACATTATTTTCTGTAATTTGCCAAACCTTTGAAAAGAGTTGCGGTAGTGTCAGCAATATTATGGTGTTTTTTGACTAACGGAGCAGTACAGTACGTTTGTTACCGTGTCAAATTGAACCCACGGGTATTCTTTCGTCCAGGATGTTTGAAGTGTTCATATACGTTTGGTCAATAATAATAATACAAACATTATTATACTTACTTTTACATTACGACGTCGTCATTGTTCTCTCTTGTAGATTAAATATTTATAGATGTATTGTTTCAGGAATTTGAACCGTGACACCCGATGTTTATATTTATCGAATTTACGTATGGCGCTAATACTTTCATATTCGTTGAAAAAATGCTTACCTGTTCGTTTGCCCTCAATATCAGATGAGGTGTGAGACCAAGCCGACGAGCCACTACGGCTGTTGCTCGACAGTGATTAGAATGGATATCCCCGCATGTGATCACGTGAGTACATTTTTGTTCTAACGCCTCTGCCATCAGAAATTCTAGTTTTCGTACCTACACGAAGAAAAAACTTATTTGTTTGAAGATGTTTTAAGTCTAATAATAACTTAACTTTTCTTTACCAACCAACCATGACAATAAAGAATATAGACATGCACTTGACATTCTTGAGTACTCATCAATGAATAAACTATAGGTTTCAGTACATCTTCATTAAATTGTTGTGGTTGCTGTTTAACATGTCATTGAAACAATCCTGTTAACAAAGCAAGATAACATAAACTAATGCAAATAGAAACTGTACATATCTCAAACTAAGACTTTTACCACCTTTGGATTATTACTATTGTAATTACAATCTTAACGGTTTATATAGGAACGAACAAATGACTTTAAACAATTTCCCCAAAAGATGCTTTGGACACCATTGTCATATCCGGATATTCATGTATGGGTTGTGTATTAGTCATGCCATGCGTAGGAATATGTGTTGTGTTTACAACTAATAAAGTAGTTCCAAGATGGCCAACCACGTGTAGTAGTCTTAAAAGAAGCTTGCCGTAAACTCACGTAAAAGGTAATGTACGTTTAATTTGTAGTTGTCTTCTTATGATTATTATGATATTCTTAACGGCCTTCATATCAAAAAACACTGTTCATTACAAGGGTCTGGGGCTCGCTCTCGTAGCTTGAAAGACCACACCTACAGCCAACCTCTATGTAGAGGCTAACAAACTATCACTGTATAGTCGTTGCAATACACCATTCAGCTTAAGTCAAATCCTGCAAATCCTTTTTTTTCGCTTATATTTAAAGAAAAATAAAACAGTCATAATACGATTCCACCAATCGGTATTCGGATTTCCACTCTTTTACGAAACACAAATATTGAATTCACATTGATGAAAATTGTTAAATCAGACACTGACAGTTGCACCTTTTATTCACCCTTAACAAAATTACAATTTTAATGTAAAACATGTCAAAATGTAAAGACTGATTGTTCTAAAGATAATGAGGTTGCCGTGGCCATGACTTCACAAGCCTATGGATTCAGGCTATCGAACAACGCCACAATAGTATCGACGGAAGCGCGAGCTATCAGCCTTACCATTCAATATATTCGAACAAACAAAGTAATGAGAACTCTCTCTCTCTCTCTCTCTCTCTCTCTCTCTCTCTCTCTCTCTCTCTCTCTCTCTCTCTCTCTCTCTCTCTCTCTCTCTCTCTCTCTCTCTCTCTCTCTCTCTCTCTCTCTCTCTCTCTCTCTCTCTCAAACTATGTGTATTACAAAGTTGGGGTAAAATCAGTATCGAAAGTATAACGACAGGAAAAGGAAAATTACCAGGTAAACTACTGGAAATAGAAAATGGTTTCAGAATGTAATTATGGTGTAACTTGAAGATAGTTGACCACTCTGACATCTACGAGAATTTCATTCTTGCACGTTAAGTAAACCTTCAAGTTTGAAATTGATTCAAGAGTACCCCACTCAAAATGAAGTGCGTTCTGGATCCTAGAGCTGCAGTAACTGCACGAACTTTTTGCCTTTTTGGGCATTGAATTGATCGGGGTATTAACCCTCCTCAATGGTATACAATTTCATTCCTAATCCAGCGCCAACGCCAACTGAGCGACGTTGATTGGAGGATTCGGCCTACGTCTTATCCTTCTGTCCAACTCGTCTAATAAATGTTTGCTGCGAGATAACCACGACAATCCCTCGCTGCATGCGACCGGGCTTTGTCCTGCTGAGACGTCAGTTGATGCTGCTGTACTAGAGGAACGACATGCGGCGCGAGGACTAGGACGGCCGAGAAATTTCCCTGAATAACGACCAGAGAAGTCGTGATCGCAATCCCTCTCTATACCATTGGAATGTTTTGTGATTTAATGTAACTGTAAAATAACTTATTATCAATTGATATTTATTAACGTGATTTCGGTATATGATGTAAAGCAAGTGCTCCTTAGTTTGTTACAAGCGTTACCTGTATTCTTTAATTCCTATTGTATTGTATTATTGTCAAGGGGTATAAGTTCGACTTTCACGTGCACGTGACAGTCCTATAGAAATGTAGTCATTCGTAGCACACCTGTGAAGTTGAACGGGAGTACGACCTTATTAGCTAGGTTATTTATTACGGGTATATAAGGCCGGGTTGTTGGAACATCGGGGTCCTTCTCTCTTCCGCTGGAGTCAAAGCAGGAAGGCCTTGTTGATGGTGAGATATTATTGAATAATTGTAAAGCTCAAAGGGGAAAGCGCACTTCGCCAGACGTTCGGGATTGCCACAGTGAACAGTACAGGGGTTTGGCGCGGACGCCGGGAAGTTATTGGCGTAAGGGTTAACGCGGACGCCGAGAGCTGGGCCGAAGGCTACTAGGGCGCCTAGGAACGTATTGTGGGACGGGCGAGGATGATGGCGAAGTGTTCCTCCTTAGTTAAGTTGGCCTTAGTTTTGCCAGGGAACTATTGTTATTATTCGACGGCGTAACGTCAGCGCTACGCCCGTATCTTGCAGTTAGCGCCGGGCGCATTGACGCCCGAGTTCTCCCTTAGCCGTACTCCCGCTAGTAATGTAGTGTGTTTGTAGTTGTGTTTTATGTAAAGTCCGACTCGTAGCGAATATTAAATCTTTGTGTGTGTATATGATTTTTGTCTTCATTTTGCAAACAAACACGATTACAAAGGCAGGGAGACGCCTACAGGAGAAATTAACACAACAATTACCGGGAAGGGGAGATAACCCTTACACCATGACCGATCCTCCTCCAAAGCGGCCATTCTCTATCAAGTAAGCATCTGCATAGCGCTCTTAGGTACGTCTATAGACACGACGTCGGCCGTCTGCCAGGTTAAGCGAAAGCCCGGACTCATCTGAGAACAGGACCCTTCTCCAACGTTGCATTGGGGAGCGTCTTACGGAATGTGCGTTCAGCCATTGCATTCATCTGGCACGTCGCTGCGCATTAAGCTGTGGTCCAACATATGGCCGTCGCGGTCTTGGACCTTAGGCACGCAATTGAGTACGCACTGTCGTTGGATCAATTGGAAAATGATGACCCCCAATTGTGTTCCTTGCTGTTTCCATGGCCGTCAAAAAGCGATTGCGTAGGTGCGAAAGTCGCATAGCCCTATCCTGCGTCACACGAGGGCGACTGTTTCGGGGACGGTCTGCAACCCTTCCGGTTGCATGAAGTCTTTGGATGAGACGGCACATGTTCGATGGATGGACTCCATATTGATTAGCGACCTGATTTTGCGAGGTACCTTGCATCAGAAGTGCAATGGCAAGACCCCTGTCAACTTCGGACACATTTTTCACGGTGACTGTTTATGCTTAACATGTGGGAAATCAAGACGGATATGTCTGAAGATTCGCACACACAGATTTTGAACCAATCCTTTGTACTGGGTTCGAGATATCGTGCGTTTGTCTCTTATTCTTTTGTACAAGCTGCGAGCGCAGTTTAGTTATGCATCGATTATTTTAATACTGAACCATACGGACCTAACTCAAATGCACACATTTGTCAAGTTTCAAGGGTGTGCGTCAAAGATTTAATTTATAATATTAACTTTCTGCTAATTGCGTTTCTTTTTTCTCTCATATATTTTCTATTCGTAATACATTAATACTACATCATGAACTTGCCTTTAACTTTCGTATTGCTTTTTGCTGGGTTCCTGGGCAGATGGGAATACCAGGCAATGAAAAAGCAGATCGTGCCGCAAAGGAAGCTTTATCAATACCACATGTTGTGTTTTAACTTTACTAATTTTAGATAATATATCAAACAATTTTTAACAGTTCAATGGCAGGAGGAATTGCACTCCGTAAAACCTATCATCAGTGAATGGTCTCCATGCTAGAGACAACCACCGAGAAGAAGTTGTCCTTGCCCGTCTTCGGATGGGTCATACATACCTTTCACATTCATATATATTGAAAGGCAAATATAATCCTCGATGTATAGCATGTGATGAGCCATTCACTGTTAAACATGTTTTATTGGGGTACATTGACCTTCTGTCTACTCGAGAACTATTTTTATCGTAAAGTAACATGTCTAAAGGCACGTTTTGAAACTGTTGAGATTAATAAAAGTCTAGGTTATCTGTCTGTATTATAGATTATGACCTACCATGTTAGTCTTCTGTGACAATATAACGGTTTATGATTTTAGCACTTGTCTTTAATCTTTTAGTTTGTTTGATGTTTTTTTTTTTTTTTCCTTTTTAGATCGCTATTTCTTTTACCGGTTATGGCCCAAATGACCTTTTATGTCTTGACGAGCCGTACAGTTTGTAAAGAATAAAAATAAATAAAAAACACATGAAGTAGGACACAGTAAATACATTCTTTACCCTATCCACATAGGATACATTTGAATTAAAATAAGATACAATGAAAATTACAAATTTCCGATGTTCTTCCATCCGTATAATGTATTTAACATTGTTTATCATATCTGTGTATTGATTAGATTTTTGAAATTTGGGTGAATTTGATCTCGCTAACCTGCCATAAAAAAATAAAACTGTACGATACTTATTTTAAGCAAAACTGTAATTGACCTGTATTGAATTTATTAAACTTGATGTCCTCCGCACCCCAAAGACACGGAATTTACAATTTGGAATAAGACCATTCTATCCCTGATGAGTATTCCTATTTTACTATATTTAGATATTGCGGAGATTTTATTTTTTTTTTTTAATAATTTCTATTTCATATGACCATTTTTTGTCCCGATCGTCGGTCACCATGGGAATATTAACGGGTTAAAATCGTGGATTTAGACCACCTCTCAATCATGTTTTTGACATTCATTTCGATCAATCCGTATTGAATAAATCAAACAGTTATATGATGGAGCACAATGAGTTTGTTTACCTTACATTATATAATTGATGGGTAATATTCAATGAGCAATGAAGGATGATATAATCCTACCCCTGTCAACTCTTCTATCATTTATTAGACAGTGATTTATGTGTATTGTACCAGTTGATCAACGAATTCATGAAACTAGTCACGTATAAAATGTGGCAAAAGGAACGTTCTCCGGTAAAAAATAATAGGTGTTATGGCATGTAAATTAAGTTAAAAAAGTATAAAAAATACTTGGATTGTAGAAAAAACAAATGATGACGACTAAGTGAAATTAATTTATTGAAAGAGAATGAAAATTTTCTATATAAAGGGATGATATTGTAAAAACATGATATATCACAAAACGTTATTTAAAAACTTCGATATATTTTCTATTAATCATTTCTTTAAAGCTAATTAGCTTTAGCTTTTTTATTTGTTAATTGGTTTGTTCTTTTGTATCAAAATTGTGTCAAAGGATACAGTTCACCTTTTCGTTAAATCTTTGGCAGACCTCGTACTTATACATCCGTCGCTTTTAGAAATATTCCATCACAATTTGTAAACATTGTTAACATTTTTATGGCAAATAAGATAGAAACTTTGGAACATTACATTATTTATCTGAAGTCTAACTTTGACGACTAACAGTGTTATTTTTTTCTTTTAATTGTTAACAGTTACCTTATTCCCCGAGAGAGTACATCCGGTCATGTCATCACGTTTGACAGATACGTCATATTCTGTGGGCATTCCTGGCAGGCTCCACCGATGTATTGGTGTCTCCTTATTAGCCAGCTGCATGAGGACATCCATAATAAGATAAAACTCGGTTAATGTGGTTTGATAGTAAAACAATCTACAAGAAAGTAACTGAAGAACATACATATATATGTGTGAAAAAAACATGTATTATGAATAAAGAAGACAGGTGACCCCTGTAGGAAAGAGGAAAACATATATCGATGCATTTTGTTCAAGGCATTAAGTTGCCCCCACTCCCATTAAGTATCGAGGGGCATTTTCCCATATACAGGGAGACTGATTGGAACAAGAACAGATCTGCTGCCACAATACCTTAATATTTTTTTCTGCAGACGGCTGTTTCTTTACCTTTTTATAGACATATTTATAAGTCATTATCTTAAAACATCAGAGTGGTTAAGTATGCATGCACACAACAATTCAAACATACACGCATACGTACCTGCCCACTATTTTTATTGGGTCTTGACTAAAGTTAGGAATACAAGATTATCCTATTTTAGTCCGGAGCTATACCAGAATCATGAAAATGTTCCATAACTGCTTCTCATCATTGACTGATAAACTGATGGAAAGTCTGTTTCGAACATAAGTTCTGATTTCATGCTACCGTGTTTTGATTATGACATTTCAGTATGATGACAATACAAAAGTGTCATTTAAGCTGAAGTACATAACTTCTGTTATATATTGGAACCGATGAAATGGAAAGCCATTATGCTTTTGCAGTTCGTTATATATCAATAATGATAAACTACCACTATAAGAAGTAACTTAAACTAATTCTTACCAGCGTTCGTTTCTTTGGAATTTGGTTCAGACTCTCTGCCCATGTTGGGCATTGGTATCCACGTAAATCCGCCATTCCTACTAAGTATGTCCAATTGGTCTAAATAATATATTCACTTTATATTTCAATTGCTAGTAAAATACCGATGCCTTATTCATCATTCACTTCCCTGCAATGTATAATGTTAGATGCAGTTATATGCCTTATGCATTTTAACTATTTTGGAGTCATACAAATATGAATACAAATAAATATGGCCACCGACGGTCACGAACGGCCCATCCTAGATTTATTTGAAACGTATTTTTCCATATCCAAACTGGTAAGTTTGATGGCAAATGAACGGTTTTATTTAACACATAACAAAACAGTTGTAATATCATATATATCAATAAACACAATCTAATATTTGACGGTTTACACATACTTATATAGAAATCATAATTGAACGAAACTGGAGACCGAGGCTGCGTTATCCACGTGTATAAACCGTGTGTTGCTATTTCATTGAATACTTTAACAAACACTCAATTGTGCTAAAGGAGTACCTCCCGGTCTACGTATCGGAATGGGACCGTTCAATGTGATGTTGCATTTTTCAGTTATATTTCATTTGTATAAAATATGGTACTCTTCCCGATTATAGTTCATGCGTATTAATCTATATATAGTCTCTGAACCTGGGGTCAACGTGTGACTACAGATGAGATCCCCATCCTGTAACTACGTATTGTTAGAGTTTGAGAGTTTAATGAAAAGAACCCTAAATAATTGAACCAGGGATTATCCCTAACAACTTTGTGATCTTAGCCTTGGATCAACGTGTTGAAATATTAAGATCGAACATATAGGGCAACTGAACTTCCGTAGGTCAAAGTTAATCGGAGGACAATGCCGATCTCATAAAGCATGATGTAATTATGTCTCCTTTTTGGACCTGCTTGGTTTCGTCATCATCCCATTGATTACTACTGAACTGAGTATTTTTCAAACTGAGTAGCCTGGAAGATGATTATCCTCAGGCTCGTGTAAGAGACGATTATCGACAACCTTTGCTGAGAGAGTAGCCACCATGTTTCGCTGGAATGTATATGTACCTACCGTCCTTTGTTTCACCTATAGTTGCTTACCGAGGGACAAAACAGTAGTTATGTAATTATGAATTTATATATCCATTAACTCTATTTCCCTATGCAGATTTTTTTTCCTCGTTTCCCAAACACCCAGATCATAATGTCAACATGTACTTTGCTAGCGTGAATTTCCCTTTAGTTGAGCGGTAGAGTGTCCGGCTTGAGATTGAAGGGTCAGTAGTTCGAACCAAAGCGGTGGTAGGGTGTTATTCATTAATCCTTCTTATTACATATTTGGAGCCGTCAACCACCCCAAGGGTAAAACTGTAGGAGATTGAGATGCTACCTTGGATATGTTGAGCCTAGATTGTTGTTATCTGCGGGGTAGAAGACTTTGAATGAGAGAGTAGTGTATAAGTTAAGGGTACAGGCCCCACTTGTATAAAACATCTCAACTTGAGATTTCCTCAAGTCGAGATTTTCCTCAGCTGATATCTCCTCAAAAACGGCTTGTATAAAATTTTCTCAAGGAACAGGAGGAAGGCATCGGCTAGGATGTCCTGAAATTTCTTGAGGAATTTTCATACACGATATTTTCAATGAGATATTAGCTGAGGAAAATCTGGGCTTGAGGAGATCTCATGTTGATATGTTTTACATACTAAAAGGATAAAGAAACGCAGAGTACTATTTATTCCGATATTTTGAAAACGCGTTCTCCAAATAAAGTGAAACTTTGTGGATTGAGTACTTAGGTCATATTACACCTTGACATGTGTCAAAAATTTAGTCACGGTACAGTGCGCAGATCTGGTAAAAGGAGGAAGGGAAAAAAAGAATCTCGTGCACCGTGTTGTTCTGGTCTCATGCAATGCAGCGTTGGTCAAGTCACTCCTCGTTAGTCTTTATACAGATCAACTGCTTCCCTAAAATGTATTGAGAATTTGATTCGTTTTAAGAATGGCATGACTCACAGAAGTTCAGAGGGTCAGGCCATTCAGATGCTGATGCAAGGACAGCTGCAAAATCAGGTTGCTAGGCACTTTGGTGTTAATGTTTCCACCATAGAACGTCTTGTAAGACGTCTTCGGGAAACTGGGCGATTGGCCGATCGACCTAGGTCAGGACGTCCGCGCGTAACGTCACGAAGTCAGGATCGCTATATCGTCGTCTCTCATGTACGTAATCGGCGCCTTACTGCCGTTGAGAGTGCACTAAATGTTCGTGGAAATCATGGGCGTCCTATAAGTTCAAAGAACTGTAAGGAATCGATTACGAGAAGTTGGTGTAAGGGCACATCGCCCCTACGTAGGTCCACACCTTACTCCTGCTCGGCGTCAGCGTCGTATGGCCTGGGTCGATGCACATGCTCCACGACGGTTTCAATCTGACGGCCGTCAACGTGTCTACCGACGTTGTGGCGAACGTTTTACGGACGCTTGCGTTGTAGAGAGGGATAGGTTTGGGGGCAGTTCAGTAATGGTGTGGGGAGGAATCTCACACGGGATAAAATCACAATTGGTTGTTATTGATGGCAATTTAAAAGCAGCTCAGTATAGAGATGTGATCCTCTGACCCCATGTTATCCCTTTCTTACAGCAGCATAATCTAACCCTCCAGCAGGATAATGCTAGGCCCCGCGTAGCAAGGATTTGCCAAGTCTATCTGGCCAACAACATTCAACCACAAGATTGGCCGCCCTATAGCCCTGATTTGTCCCCGATCGAGCATCTTTGGGACCAGTTGGATTGACGGGATCGAAAGCGCCAGCTACTCGAGAGCAGTTGACCAGAGTTCTGATTGAAGGGTGGGACAACATCCCCAAAAGATGGATTAACGCTCTCATGATCTCTATGACCAGAAGAATAAGGGCCGTGACCACAGCAAACGGCGGACACACAATATATTGATGACTCATTGCAATTTCAATATCCTATGGGTCCATTCAATTTAGCCATTAGTACCTCTAAACCAATTGTCAGATGCAAAATACAGACTTTGGAAATTTTTAAGCTTTAATTTATCTGTAAGTATACAAAATTTCGTTTTAAATGAAGCCCGAAATCAAACTTAATTTCTGGTTTAAAGTTCACCCTGCGTTTCTTTATCCTTTTAGTATACAAGTGGGGCCTGGTCGCTTTACTAGCTTCCCTTAAGTCGGGCGGTAGAGTGTCCGACTGGAGAGGGAAAATACACATTTCTGTCGAGTGCCCAGACCAGGAATCAAACCCGGGTATCTGACGAAAACAAGTATGCTCCCTCAGCTGAGTGACAGAGACCGTATTAGACAATATGTACAAATCACACAAAACCGCTCCTATAGCATTTCTTGCAGCCATACTCAACATGTTCATCAGCAGAAAATGTACCACAAGGCAGCATCCTTTCACACACTTGTGAAATATATTTGTTATTACTCAAGACACTATTAAATATCCCCTTTTATCGTCGTTTTCTTTACTCAGCAAATGCGTTGCCCCCATCATAAACAACAAGCTGGCCCTATCTTCTTTAAGACCCAATGCAAGTGTAATATTTTTTTAAATCTGCCCCCAAAGTTCATGTAACATTAATGCATCAGTTTTGCAAGACTTTGGCAAACTAGAGCATAACAAATCAATGCGGGTTTTTTTTAATTTTAAAATCAAATCAAAGGATCTCTTTCACGAACAATGGATTTTGGCCACGACCCAATTTAATCCAATCCATGTAGTGTTTATAGCACCCTGAATTAACACTTAAACAATTCAAAAGGCCCATAGGGCCTGAACTATTATATAATTTGTGACATTTACTGAGGGTATAAGGTAAGGTTAAGAAATGGCTCCATAACAACCCAAGGGTTCATCGCAAGGCTTCTTATAACCACTTATTTGGTTCATTGGAATCTATTTGTGATTTTAAGCAAACATTATTTGGCATAAGAAAAAAGTGATGATCAATCAGATAAAGAAAAATGTTATTTTTTCTTGATTTTTAGAACAAAGTTTGATCATAGGAGTGTTTCAAACCCTTCCGGTTTCGGTGCACCTAAGAACTTCTAATATAATTTGGCACCTTATATTTGCTGCTCTTAGCCAAATTAAAAAAAAAAAATCGTGACCGGTAAGTTTGTCAATTAGCAGCTTAATTGCGTGGAGTCAGAATCTCGATAGTGACGTCACGCTCAAACAATGTACAATATATACAATTTATTGACTTATAATACACACCAATATACATATCCCATAAACGTACACCGCAAACCGTTCACTCAAGAACACTGATAATAACTCCCAAACCAATGAATATACACAATGTCAATATAAACAGAAAGTTTGATTCCTACACGGCCACAACTTCAGTGAGCGTTACTAGCTATAAAGTTCACTCCTAGGCGATAATACCAAGGTGGCAAATTAAGTAAATAATAACTTGCATGTCAGTCTTCCCTGATGTCGATGACGTCGAAATCCCGTCACACAGGTTATAGACGTAAGGAAACGGCGACCTGTCACAACTGTATTTCCAACTTGTTTCTGGGTAGGGAATTGATGCACCCGTCCCAATGTCAACTCCGACACCTGCATGCTGTCATGGAGGATATCTGTGGTAGGTCATCTAGCGAGTTACTCTCCTAATATGTGTGGAACCAAAATACCATGTAGCATGCACTGTAGTTCATGAAAAAATTGGCTGTCTTATCCACACCACTACACCAAGGCCGTGTCAATATGAGTATATGCCCTCACATCGGAACCAGACATCTTTTAAGTACAGATGTACGAAATACTTGTAACCAGGAGTACAATAATCTCTGTCACCAGCGCGCGCGAAATTAGCACGAGCTGTGAAAGATTGCATGAGAGTTGCGCAAGTATGAGTCACGAACCACCTGTACCCCGAATTCAAGTCACGTCATTCCCCACCTGGCCAGCACCGAGTCCACATCGGTGGCAACACACAAGTTCTCTCCTAGTAAGTATATGTCGAATCTGTTAATTTGTGATATTTAATAATAAT